TCCCTGATTGCTGGGGGTTGCACAAAATGGGGGAAAAACACTCTGCTGTGTCACAGACATCACATTATTACAATAAATTCACTATGTCTGAAAATCAAAAAGTTCTCTTAATGAGAGAAGCAAAGACATTTTCACTCTATAATGTGTGCAGCCTCAAATTATTAATTTTTTTAATTATTTTTTAAGAAATTATTACTTCATCCTTTACAGCACATAAAAAATCCTCAGTGGAGTTTTGTAAATGAACAAAAGGTTACATTACTCTAACTAATATGTTGAATGTCAATTCTGCATGTTTACTGGCTTGCAGTCTGCTTCTTCATTGCCTTTGTTGGTGCATGGCTGCATGGCACTGCATTACCAACACTGGCAGGTCAGTGGAATATTATTGGAATACTGATATAACTGTGTATCATCACTCATGTATGTGTGCTTTCCCACATGCAGGTATATCAAACAGTATGGGGAAACAATGGGGAAGGGGAACCTCTTTTGCACAACGTGCTGGTTTGACAAACCTGTTGAATTGTAAACCAAATACCGGCTCTCTGGTGGTCCGTCGAAAATGGGTCGAGACTGCAGATGACTCAGTAAAAATGTGAGAAATTCTCGTCTTGGACCCCCTATGTCGATCCCGTCCTCCAATGAGCCTGTATCGTCACTAAATCTGACAAGCAAGACTGATTTTTCAGAGTAGGTTGAACGTCTGAAGCCTCTGACCACTCCAGCCCAAACATTTGAGCGTGTTATGTTGAATCTGCTGACAGTTGTATGGTCTATGACATTTGCTAATTCTTCAATAATTTCGGCTGCAGAGACTCCCGTGTCCCTATAACAACACATATAGAACAGAACATTAGTAGGTAGGTATAATATTTCTCCTTTTCATTATATTTACAACAAATTATATATATATATAAAAACAATTTTTGTACCATGGTGTTAAATCATTTTGATAAAAATATTGCAACATGTTTGTTTTTGTAGAAATGTGAGACCCCCTAAAGGTATAAATTCTAAAGAGGCTTTTACTACTTTCTTTTATATTGGGCACTGTACACACACGTACACACACACACATACTTACTCAGCTTTCTTTGCAGGGTCAGAGCTTATAGGTACAATGTTGAAATCTTGACTCTCGTCCACATCATCTTCAATTACAATAGGAGCGTACAGCTGTGTGTACTTGCTGCAAATAAAAAAATGTGATAATTAATAGGTCTATCCTTCACCTTCAACGACACTGACATACAAGAGTGTTTAAAATGTTTTGTAACCCTAACCATAACCCTACCTGTACAATGTGCTATCCATGGTTTTCACAGCAGGCACATTTGCAACGGCTGCATCTGCAAAACTAATTATTAATCATTAAATGTAGCGTATCTATATAGTGTACTATTAAGACAAAAGACACAGAGACTCAGTACCTAAAGGCAGTATTCTTCCTCCCTCCAGAAGTACCCTCTAATGGGTCATCAGTGTCTGAAACATATATCTTAAGAACAACATGTTAAAACAAATATTACAAAATCACAATATTTCGTTAAACTATGCTTTAATATTAAAACACATTGGTCTAATTCATTAGTGCTATTTAAATGTGATAAAATGTGGAATTAAAATAAATGTATTATAATTCGTATTATACATGTAGTATAAGAAGAAAATTGGCACAACCACTCTACCTTACCTCATCCAATACTCCCTGGTCTGATGCCCCAGAAAAGTTGCTTGGAAACAAAAAAAACAAAACAATATATCAACATTAAAATCATTGTGTTAAATCACTGCAATAAATGTTTTTAGATTCATAATTTGCATGTGCTTTGGAAAACTGATATGGTTTCAGACATTATACTGTCATTACATGGAAAACAGTGGATGCCCACTCTACCCCCACACATTGTTTCTTTTTTATGTTATTTTATTTAATAAAATTGTATTATTTTGCATCTTAAATGAATATACATTGTATTCATCACATGTATGTATGCAATACTTAAAATGCAGATGTAAGGTTAAGTCTTATGTTAAAAGGTTTAGAGAATGATCGTATTACCTTATTTTCCCTGCAGTGTTTTTTGGTGTACTTTCACGATGGGGTTCCCAGGGCTGCAAAAATATAGTAAAATAACAAATTAAACCACTTAAGTTGCTAAATTATTTTGTGGCCATAGTAGCAATCCAATTACTGACCTGTAAATCTGCATCTCATTTGCTTTTAAGTATTCAAACAGGATCTGGATAAACTCACTGGTCAATTCAAAGCAATTCCAATGTTTCTAAATGCATTATCTGTTCAGTCTTTTCCAGAATTGAGTGTCACAGATATGTGTGTGAACAGAACGCAACCATCAGCAACACAAAAACACACACACACACACACACCTACCAGTGTGTCTGCACACTCAAATTCTGCTACACTTTTGGTTTTCACATGGACTTCATCATCTGTATCCAATGTATCTTGTTGTTGATCTATGAGAAAACACCTGGTGAGTGACATTTTGATGGGTGACAAGCCTAAAACCAAACAAATCAATCTGCTTTGCCTAAGACACACTTACATTTGTTGTAATCTGCTGTAAGACATATATAAAAAGTAATCCTGTTGTATGGTTTTCCTATTTCATTTTTATACTCTTTCAGAATGAATGGCTTTGCAGTTCCAGGAATGTTAATGACTTCGGTTCTGTCTGGGTAAATGAGGACATAGGGGCCAACATCCAAATCCGTATTAAAGTCAGTCATCTTCTTGACCGCCAACCTATGCAACCCAGCGGCATCAATGTCTGGCTCAACCATCACTGGAAGAGTTTTCCCTCTGACAGTTTTCATGGTGTCATCTTGAAAGCACATGACTCCAATATTTGTCTGTACAAAGAAAATCAGGTGTCAATCGGTACATAACTCGTACATAAAATGTTGTGCAGTGCTAATAACCAGAAGTGTACCATATTTACAGGGGCGGTTCTGGGGGGTGGGTTTGCAGGGGACTGAACCTGGTTCAGTCCCAATTTGACGGATCACCCCAATTAAATCATATGGACATCATGATAAAGCTATTCTCCTATCCATACTTATATTTTAACAAACATTATTGCTTTGTTGGTACTTAGGAAATGTGTAGATGAATCATTATTGTATTTATCCTTTGACTTTTTATTAACTGATATTATGAGGTGGCTATAGTATGGAAGGTGTTAGGGCTCAGTGAGAAACCAGTGTCTATTTGTGTTCTATTTAATTGTATATAATGTGCATATAACAAGGGCATCCGCACGAATGTAAAATAACTACAGCTAATAGCGCTACGCTGCTTACCTGTACTTTTTTCTGCTCCTTCTTCTTAGTACTTTTCTTATGGCAAGAGAAATTTTGCCTCTCCTCCGACTTCTTATTCCTATACTCAAGGAAGGTTTTGAGGGATGGCATATTCAGAGGTGCTGCCGCAGCTACAGAGAAAAGAGTGTGTTGTATTTTTGCGATATACGTTTTATGAGGTTTAATTGAAGAAGAAGCAGCTTATCGGCGGAAACATAAATCTAAGTAAAAACCTATACAGTTTAACGTTTGATCGACCTGAAGTTGGGCCAGTGGTGTCCTCTTCATGTCCACTATCCTTTAAGAAGGTCAGTGATTTTCCACACTCGTCGCAGAATCTTGGCAGCGACTGAAACCTTTTCCCACAATACGGACAATACATAATATATTTCTCTCCGCTAACACTCGCACAAAAACAAAGTACAAACGGGAAATGAACAGTCGTGAGTGACATGGGTAGGGTCCAATTGCAATCAGGAAAAGGGTAGGACCACACTTCGTGTTCGTGATTGGACAGTACCCATGTCACTCCAAGGATACAGTCCAATCACGAACAAGAAGTTTGGTCCTACCCTTTCCGTTTTCTGAAATGTCGTTGTGTTTTGAAATGTCGTTGTGTTTTCTGTAATGTCGTTGTGTTTTGTGAAATGTCGTTGTGTTTTGTGTTTTTGGAAATGTCGTTGTGTTTTTGGAAATGTCGTTGTGTTTTCTGTAATGTCGTTGTGTTTTGTGATTTTGGAAATGTCGTTGTGTTTTTGGAAATGTCGTTGTGTTTTCTGTAATGTCGTTGTGTTTTGTGTTTTTGGAAATGTCGTTGTGTTTTTGGAAATGTCGTTGTGTTTTCTGTAATGTCGTTGTGTTTTGTGTTTTTGGA